ATCCTTCCCCACGGCTCCCCCCCACACGCCCCCAACACCGCCATACTTTCCCTTCCTTCCCCGATCACCTCCGTGAGCGCGCGGGACAACCCCACGCTTACGGCCTACCTTCACTGCTCTACTCCGTCGCGCCATTGCCAACGCTGCAACCTGCAACCAAATTTCTCTACACACACACACCACACCAAACAACTCAAATTTTCACCGTACCTCCCGTTTCCATCCTCCTTCTTCCTGCCGGTCGCGTCGTCCGTCCACGGCCTCCTTCCCTCTCCCTTCTCGCTCCCCTCCGCCCCGACTCTCTCCTCTCTCCTTCTGGAACTTTCCTCTTCTTCTTCGTCTCCGCTGTCCTCCTTCCCTCCTTTTCTCTTTTTCTCTTTTTCCTTTTCTTTCTTTTTTTTTTCTTTTCTCCTCTCTTTCTCCTTCTCCCTTTTTCGACCTCCTTTTATACTCTGCCAGCCTACCCCAAAACGACATCGTTTTCCTACATCCCAAAACGACGTCGTTTTTCTTTCTTTCAAAACGACGTCGTTTTTCCCCTCTCTAAAACGACGTCGTTTTTATTATTATTATTATTATTATTTTTTTTTTTTTCTATTCTTTCTACTTTCTAGTCCTTACATGACCAATCGGACGGTTCAAATCGCACACCGGAGCAAAAGCCAGATTTCCCTTAAATGGCCCCGATCAAACGGCTCCCATTGCGCCACATCAGCCCGATCATACGACCGGGATTAAATGAAAAAAGGTATTTAAATCTCTCTTTGGTCGGCCTCTCAAATCCTAGCCGACCAGTCGATCAGAGAAGAAGCAGTAGCTAGTATCGGAGAGAGTTCAGGCGCTAGAGAAACGACAGCGCCATCGAGCCGGAGGTCAAAATTGATGCGGTAAGTGCGATTTTCTCTCATTCTTTCTATTTTTCCATTCTCAATCATTTTTAACTATTTTTGACACAGATTAATCCAAGAAAAGCTACAAATTGAGGGAGAGGAGGTGTGCAAGTCAAACCCGATTTCTGTAAGCCTATTTACCCTCCTCCATTCCTTTGCCTTCCCTTAGACACTAACTCTGTGATTTTTTGTTAAACGAAAAAAAAAGAAAAGAAAGGGAAAACAGTGAAAACTAAGAGTGAAGGGGATTGCCGCGACCGATGGCTACGAGGAAAGACATCACCATCGTCCAATGTTTGTAAGAATACCTCTAACCTTCCTCTGTAACGATTACATCTAAGCTTAATCAATAATAAACGGCGATCTAAATGATTTTGTGATCTCTTGATGGTTAAATACAGGTTGTCGATGAGAGCTGATATAGCAGACTTAATTTTCCTGCTTGTTTTCTTGTTTACGTTTGCCTTTGTTTTTCATTTTTGTTTATTTTTATTTTTATTTGTCTGTTACTTCTTGTTAGACCTGGTACTAGTTTGTTTAATTCATTCTACTTCATTAAAGGTGTCCTATTTTATCTTGTTTCACCTTAATCTATGCATTTTGTCTCATTATTTGTGTTAGTTTGTTGTATGAAATTTTTATTCTATTTAATTCATTACAGTTTATGTAACGACCCCGGAAATTCAAAATGGAATGTATATTAAAAATATCAAATGCGGAAGCGAAGTCAAAAATTCGATTAACATCCCTTACACTAAAACCAAAAACGTGCTCACAATATAAAAGATCAAACTACCTAAAGGAGAAACTTGAAAGTAAAAGCTACAAATATGACTATGGAGTCTTTAGGCGTCCCCTTCGTCGTCCTCCTGCGGAACTGGCTCGGGAACAATGTCTTCCTGATCTGAAATGATTAAATAAGGAATGAGCTACACTAGCCCAGTAAGGACATCACGATATCTCACCGTCACGGAGGTAAAGGTGGGTAGAAAACACAAAAAGACCAATGGAGCATAATTTACAACAAAACCTTTTATCAATAATAAAACCTTTACCATTAACTTACCTCGGTGAAATTCATAAGTCAATATACGAAAACAATAACATCATCATCATCATGAAATCATATATAAACTGTATAACGTAATACTTATCAAGCCTTTCGTAATTCAATCGTTACACAATATATTTTCCTCATTTACCAGCCCACTAGTATCCATGGGGATCCATAGAGGTCCCGCTACCCGTTAACCCTTTAACGCTTGAAATCATATTCCAGAGCCGTCCCCATACCCCGTCCGGTATGGGCGCCAAAACTATAAACCTCATTACCCCGTCCGATATGAGGGTGAAACGGGTTGTCCCCATACCCCGTCCGGTATGGGCGCCAAAACACATAAGATCTCCATACCCCGTCCGGTATGGCAGACCACAATCCCGGTAGGGTTCCCTACGGACCCGGTCCGTCCACCATCTCCCAGGATATCTAGTCAGGCTGACCACATTATACGATTACCCATTTACATAATCTTTCATTCTCTTTTTCCTCAGTCAGCACCATCAATCCACATACAAACAAACAAAACGGTAATTTACGCCAAACAGACAACATACAGCATCAATATCTCAGTCATTCAATCCATAATCAATAAAACAGTAAAATATGCACACGAAACTATAAAATGAAAACATCAAATCTCATACTGCATTTAAAACTGTAAAACAGGCCAAATAACAGTTAACCGACAAACACACTAGACTCGGGCTCCATTAGCGACCTTAAACAATTTCACACATTCGTTGATTCAAGAAATACCGTTTTATCATTATTGAACTTTAATACCGTGATAGGAAATAGGGTGAGGGGTCCTTACTCGTTTCGGGGTCCGAACACGGCTTCACAGTGCGCCTACAGGCTGTCCCTAATTTTCCCTGAATTTTTCCTGGGGAACTGAAACGCACTACTGGTACCTGCACGTGTTCCAAAAAATCCCAAATTAGGCCCAGGGCCCCTTTCGGCCAATATCGCATTTTCGGCACGGCGGCTCCGCCGTACTCCGACGACGGCGCTGCCGCAAGCGGCGGCGATTCGCCTCGGTTTTACCGTTTTCGGCCGTTTCCGATCGAATTCGGCCACACTTGCATCGATCCTTGCGATTAAATAACTCTAGGGCCCTCGGGGGGCCAAAAAATTACAGAAAACCGAAGCTTACCGGCGGCGGTGCTCTCGGGTGCGGCGGCTCTTCGGTGAAGTTCGTGTTTTGGTGATTCGGCTCTGATCAACCTGTAGAGAGAAGAATGGTGATCACGATGATATAAAAATTGCATTAAACGGAGGCCGGGAAGGGCCTCATCGGAGGCAAAAATCGAGGAGGGGCGCGGTAGCACCGCTGGGCTTCGGCCGTGTTTTTCGGCCGTTTGGCCGGGATTTTGGCTCCGATTTGGCCACATGGGAAATCAGCGTGGAAAAACGAGTCGGGGGTATGAAATTTACCTCGATCGGCGATCGAAAATCCCTCCGGTGCGGCGGTGGGTGGCGGCGGCCGGCTTCTGGTTCGTCTTCTCCGGCGATGGCAGGCGGCTAGGGTTTGTGATCTGGTGTGGGGGTCTTATTTATACCCTTTTGCCTTTTGATCTCAGCCGTCCATTTTGATTTAATCTGGACCGTCCGTTTTTTATTGAATCTGGGCCGTCCGTGCGATTGCATCTTGGCCATCCGATCGCACGTTCGATCTGGGCCGTCCGATCACGCATGCGCGGATTGCCAACGTGGCCTGTCTCGGATCGACGTGGTCTTGCCACGTGGCAGGTCCCGGTTGGCCGGGACTGCTGACTGGGTCTGCTGACGTGGCTGCTGACGTGGCACCCCTTTTTTTTTTTTTTTTTCTTCTCTTCTTCTTCAATTTCCCGGGCGCTACAGTTTATCCTTACTTTTAATACACGTTTCTTTGATGGGTATTGAAGCATGAGTTGCATGCCCTTGTATCATTTTGATGCAAGAATCTTGTGGACCATTGATTGTCTAAAAAATAATAAAGTATGTAATTAATGCAAGTGTAAAATGATGACATGAATGAAAAGTTCACCGGGTATCATGGAAAATAGTGTTCGGACTTGGTATATAGGGTGAACCCTATCGTGGACTTATCGTCAGTCATACGGGATTGAGAAGTCTCATACTGGATAGAGTTGGGAGTTGTTTAATTTTGTTCATATGAAACAGGGTATTGAGGCAGTTTTTAATTATGACACTTATTACCAAATGGGATATGAGAATGACCGATGAATTGTAAAAGAAATGTTTGTGTATCCACGTATAGCAGGATTTCCTATACGCCCCCAGTAATACCAGTAATGGAAACGGAAATACATGACAAGAATGGTAATGATGAGTAACCCTAGTTTGGGTGAGATGGTAAAGAATCTAACATTATATTTTTATTAGAATGTATGTTTATTGTGATTTAATTTTGATTCTGATTATATATTAGCGTATTATGTTTAGAAGACTACTAATAAGAGAAAGAAATAATAATGTTTTCAGTAAAAACTGATAAAGGATGCGTTAACATTCATATTTCATTAAAAATAATATGCTCCATCAATTATTTTATAATTTTCTACAACCCTTTGATTACTGTCTCAATAGTAAGCTTTTTGATATTCTTATTAAACTAATGTAGTTCATAATTTTTTATTAATCATTTTAAATAAAAACAATTAATATTCAGATCTAAAATAGTGAAAAAACAGCTAAGATATTATTCCTTTCCGTTATGCCAGACTTGAATTGAAATTAACTATTGTTTTGTAGTAATTTTCTTATTTTAGATTTTAAAACAATCTAGTAAGCCTTCCGCATATTATTAGTTAACGTACAAAAAATATAACTTTTAAACTTTAAACTCTTTCGCGCAATGATAATTTCAGTATCGGTATATTATTACAACTATTCTAAATACTCAAAATCTTTAATAGGATTTCAGACTTTTACATATTATGCTTCATAAAGAGAAAAACAAGTTAATAATATTGTTTAGATGATATATTTATGCCTCAGCTGATGCTGTCATGCATGATATCCATCCAATCACACTATTGAGCAAGCAGTAGGAGAAAAACAATGATAGATATACAAAAATGAAAATGAACTTATACTACATATGCAGCCAATTCTGAGTGTTTTCAAACATGTCATAACAACTTTTAACCAACCAAAAGAAATGTAAACATCTAGAAGAAAATGCACACATACAAACTCAGTAAGAGAAATCATGGGCTGGACTATCTGCATGCATGTCCATACAATCATTGGCGATCGGAGAATTGGCATCCCTGTTTTGGTTCTCATTGCTCCGACCTCCATTTGGACAAGACAGTACATTCGAATGATAACCACCTTGTGCCAAGTGATAGTGCTGCAGGCTACGACGAACAGGACTGGACAGGGCATTTGAGAAAACGGAGTTCTTTGCTTGATGATCAACATGCCCAGAACGAACTCCCTGTCCAACTGTTAACGATGCAAATGGATTGGAAGAAATGGGAACACCATGTACTGCAGTTTGTGAATGTTGGTGCTGAATCGGCAGTCTAGGAGACACTGGTGATTCCTCTGCTCCATATTCAAGTTCATTCTGCAGAAATACCAGAACAAAGTTAGACAGCCATTTTATTTTCCTACAGATTTTACCTTACCCTCTTTTTCAAAGTTCTTAAATATAATTCAAACTACAAATTCCGAGTTTTATATTTTTTGAAAGGGGAATTGAAATTAGTAAGATTCATAACAAAGTTAGTAAATCAAACTATATTTTCCTCCATATTTTATTTTACCATAAAATAGAGAGCACTTAAAATATTTTAAAAAAATTTAGATCATATGAAACTGATGTCACAGCCAACTAAAAGGGTAGTTCTTGTGAAAGATAATGTATAGAATATGTATGATAATTCAAAAACTAAAGGATTTTTATCTTTTCCAATTCTCACATCCAAATTATCATAAACAACTAAAACAAATCACCCATGCATCTTCCTTTATAGTGTTCGGAGGGGAGAAGTATGGGATTATAGTAGTTTTATGGGCATTTATTATTGGTGAGCAGCTCTATTTTTTCTTAGTTACTCTGGATGGGATGGTACTGAAGCAGACAACATTAAAAGGAGCTGATTGCACCATTCCTCAGGCTTATCTTTTGAAACATTTGGAGAGAACAAAGTTTTTGAAGGCCTAGTATCAAAATTTTTTAGGATCAGGGATAGCTTGTTCCAGATCTTGTACATCTTCTCAAAGGTCATCCCTTAATATCCTGTAAGTCCCGAAAACCTTGTAAGGCTTTGATTGAGGAAAGTTACAGCCATTTTCGTATAGCTGCAATTTTATCACTAACTATGGCTACACCTTGCTGAGAAATAACATGTCCAAGATAGTAAATAAAGTTTGTGCAACTAAGCTTTCGGATTTTTTTAAGTACAAGACATGTTGTTGAAGGATTGTGAAATTATGTTCTAAAATGCTTCAGATGCTCTACCCAAGACTTTCTGTAAATAAGGATGCCGTCAAAAAACACCAAAATGAATTGCCTCAAATGCTTCTGAAAACTTTGATCCATCAATAATTAAAAAGTAGAGGGAGCATTTGTGAGCCAAAAGGCAATATCAAAAATTCAAAAGGGCTGTGATTTCTTCTGAATGAGTTTCCCTACATCTTGCGGTGTCATCCAAATATGATGATAACCAGAAAGAAGATCCAAGAAAAAAGCAGCCCCATACAACTCTTCTAATAATTCTTCAATAACCAGAATGGAAAATTTGTCTTCCACTGTTTCGGAACTGTGTGCATGATAGCCAACACAAAAACACCAAGTTTGATCCACCTTCTTGACTAATAATAGCATAGGAGATAAGAAAGGTGATTGACTGGGTCTGATCAGCCCTTTTTTCAACATAGATTCATTTTGCTTCTCAATGTTATTCTTTTGGAAGTGAGGATAACGATATGGTCCCACCACCAAAAGTGGTGTATTTGAAAATAAAGTGAAATGATGATCACAAGTGCTGAAAATGAGGCAATGAAGTGGGTGGGTTCTTGGAATAACACATCATATTACAGCATTAATCCATTATGCTAAGGATAATACAAAAGAGAGAACCTGTAACTATTTTGTATACGGGTGGTACTCCTTTAGTACCTTGTACATAATAATACTTCACTTTTATTTCAAAAAAAAAAATATATATATATATATATATATGCCAAGGATAATACAAAAGAGAGAACCTGTAACTATTTTGTATACGGGTGGTACCCCCTTAGTACCTTGTGCATAATAATACTTCACTTTTATTTCAAAATATATATATATATATATATACATAGAAGAGAGAATCCGGGGTGCTGAGGAGATGTTGGAAGACCATACAGAGTTACACATTGTCCATTGAAGATAAATTTCATGGTCATTAGTTGAGAGTCCCATGTGATTGGACCCAAATGTGTATTAGCCAATTTATCCCAAAACTGCATGGAACCCTATTAAAGAACTCGGAATAAAATCCAAATTAAAATTAATGTTACCCAATTCCAAGGAGACATTTCGATAAAGACCAGAAGACTGAATTTTTCTCCATTTGCACTAAAATTCTGAAGTTGGCGAACTTCAAATCTATCGCGAAGCTGGAGCCAAGGAAGATGTGGGTATTTCCAGAGTCAATTAAAACCACAATAAGAGTGTTGTCAATATACACACTGACTTTCATCATTAAAGAGTGAAATCCTAACATTGGATGCAATGATTTTCAACCACTTCTACTGCATTGGACTCAGGTAAGACTGGAATTTGAGTATAAGCATTGTCGAAGGAATTTTCATCCTCCCCCTAACCAAACCAAGTGTTTGCATTAGCAGGTGAGGTCAAATTTCTCATCATAGTTGAAGCACAGCTCTTGTGCTCGCCAGCAACCCAATTCTTGGAGAAAGTCATTTCACAGCGGGAAAATGTGACAGAGATGAGCAAACAGATGTGGGAACCTCCGTCGTGGAAGTCTGTTGGCCCAAAAGCGCATCAACTCAGGAATGACTCAGAGAACACCTGACACAAAGAGTACATCTCAGAAGAATACACCCGTATCCGTGTTCATATCCGCTTGCAAGGCTCGTGGTGGCTGTCAGGTCTATAGGATTCTGTAGTTCAACTACCATGGCAATATAATCTTGTAATCCACTCACAAAAATTTCAACTTCCTGTTCTGAAGTGAGAGAGTTGCCTCTGCCAAAGCACCTCAAACTTTCTTTGGTAGTCGGCCACTAATACCACTTTGCCTTAATTTGCTTAATTCTCCCAACTTATTACTTCTAACTGGAGGACCAAATCGGAGTGGACAGAAGTGCTTAAAATCTGGGCATCACAATAAGGGGTGATCTTATTCCAGTTTCAAAAACCAGACAATGGAAAGAATCCAACAGAACTTTCCTATCATTGCAGTAAGTTGATGCTGGAAGAAATGTACACAACATCCCAGCCATGGTAATGGGTTTGTGGAACTATCAAACCCTAGAAAATCCAACTTCATATAACGAGAAATAAAGGCTCTATCTTGATCACCTCCTGCAAGAGTATGAGTGCAACTTTCCCTGTCTGGTTGTATATTGCCCTCTCCAAGTTCCTTATGGGCACAATGAAAAGAGGATAGTTCCTCTAAACAGTTGGCCAAAAAATAAAATTTTTGGCGATCATATTCGTTATGATAAGTTTTAAGGAAGGGTTCAAACTTAGGTTGTACATCATGACGTCTGGCTCTAATATCAGTTTGTTATGGTCTCTAATAATGGATCTTTTACAGGACAATTCATATAGAAATCTGCATGAATAGAAGAATGTTTTCAAGTTTTTCATTCCTTCCCTATCTTGAACTAGATTATGGACTTGTTAAGAAAGAATCCAACCATCTCTTGAATAAGGAAGCACTCAACACCTTAAATTAATTTTCCCATACATAAACCTGCCCAATAATACAGCAAAAACTTATTACATTGAAAGAGTAGTTATTGTTGGAGGCTATTTTTCAGAATTGTTCCAACTACCTTCTTGCTTTTATCGCAAGACA